AGACTGGACTGCCATCCACAGTGTTCTTTGTTTCCCATATACCGGGGATTCAAACACACAAAGGAATAACAACAGCTTATTAGCATCTTATTAGCAAGGAGTGACGTAGCAAATAGGCTTCTGGCCGTTTGCTAGGTACTGCTGCTGGCGGAGCGCTACCTCCCGAATAGCCCGACGGACAGCCAATCGCAGAGCGGCGCCGCACTGTAAAAAGCTCAAAAAGCTCAGGCACCCTTCTGGACCGTCCACGAACAAAAAGAACCCGCCCGCGTACCTACCCGCGTAAGGTACCTACCTCGACACCCACTCTTCGCCGCCGGGCTACCTCACCCTCACCTCATTTTCGGTGCAGCAACAGCAAGCAACAAGCAACATTGAGAGAGACCCAGGCCTCTTTCTCTCCCTCTCTCTCGCAGCGCCCACCCGCACCAATTTTAAAATCACGGGGCGGCCCAATCCCATCGCGCGACCAACCGAAATCGACAATCCGTCTTTCGTCTTTTTTTTTTTTTTCTCACTCGCCCCTGGCCAGTGTTACAAAACTTGCGAAAGAGCAGCCAGCTCCCACCCTCTTTTTCCCCCCTTTCCCGTCTCCCCGTCCCGACACCGATCTTCACCTTGAGATCTTTCCACGCGGCAGTCCCAAGGCAATACTTTCTGCCCGACAACAATATTTCTGCGCCACTGCAGAGCCACCAGAGACTCGCACCTTCTCTCTCCGCCATTCTCATCAACGCCATTCAACAATTCCTGCTTCTTCCCAGCATTCAATTGCAAGCAGCGAAATCGAAGCCGTCGCGCAGCTACAAGTCACTGACGAAAGAGCGTATCATCTCTGCAGTCCGCCCGTGCAGCCGACCTACACCACCTCGTTCTCCAAACTACGACCCGACACAACCTTTCCAGCCTTCCCGAGGGTAGCATTCTGCTTACAACAGCAGTCTCCAAAGTCCTGGTGAGTAATGACCGTTATTTCTCATCACAATCGTCGCAGACCAGCCCAAATTCGTGGTTCCGGCACCTCGATAGCTCCGGTGGCTTGTCAAGCGTTCGATTTAGCGCCTCCTTGGGCTGGTCGTGCTTCCCATCAAACCCTCGGCTCAATCAAAGGTGTCGGACGCACAGCACTCGCGCCTTGGAGACAACTGTAGAGAGACGCAGGTGCAGGTGCAGCTGGTGGATGCCGGAGCCTTGGTTGGGCCTTGCGGTACATGGCCTGCCCCCAACGCCCTGCCCTGTCGGCTCGCCCTCTCAGTGGTCGCCTGCTCCGCGACCGCGTGTGCGCCACTGACACTCTGACCGACAATTCCCTTTTTCCTCAGACCTGCGTCTTCTGTGCCTCTTCCAGCACTTCCGGCGACTCCATCGCAACTTGGCTCCATTTGCTGACCGACTTCTTTTCTAGCAACTTCAATACCACCCTCATCATAGAACTGCATCGTCTCTGCCTCTACTCACCTCAATTCCAACGAACGCGCCTGGTCCTCTAGACTCTCGATACCCCCCTTTTTCGCTTTTCGCAAATCCAAAGCACCTGTCCCACACAGACTGCCAAAGCGCATCTCAGAGCAATGCCCCGGAGAATTGCGAATCCCTTCTCGACCTCCCATTCCCCCGCAATGCCGCAGACTGAGAAGGAAAGGAGACCTTCTCGTTCCGGCAACCGGATCACCAACTTCTTCACTTCACCAAAGGGCGCCAAGGATAAGGACCACCAGACTGCCCAGCAGGCTCTCTTGGCCATGCAGCAGCAAAATATTTCCTCCACCCAAATCACTCCCTCCACCATCTCCCTGCCTACCATCTCTCTCTCGACCGCCAACGCCAACGAGCCCGACAACAGTGAGCCCCCGACGACCCTCTTTTCGCCTCCCTCCGCCTTCGAGACGGAGAAGAAGCGCCGCTACGATGCTCAATTCGGTCCCCTCTTGCACCCTAGCCACCGCTACGTGAGCAAGTCCAACGATGGAAAGCCTCTCGACCCGCCCATCATTGATGAGCCGCCTTACTACTACATCCTCACCACCTACATCAGCTACCTGCTCCTCATTCTCTTCGGCCATGCCCGCGACTTCTTTGGCAAGCGGTTCGGCGACAAGAAGCACTACCAGGCTCTCAAGCCCCAGAACGGCTATGCGCCCTTGAACGAGGACTTTGACAACTTCTACGTCCGCCGACTCAAGATGCGCATTGACGACTGCTTTGCCCGACCCATCACCGGTGTTCCCGGCCGCTACATCACCCTCATGGACCGCGAGTCCAGTGACTACAACCGAACCTACAACTACACCGGAACCCACACCGAGACCCTCAACATGAGCTCTTACAACTACCTTGGCTTTGCCCAATCCGAAGGTCCTTGTGCCGATGCCGTCGAGGAGTGCGTCAAGAAGTACGCTCTCAGCACCTGCAGCCCTCGCGCTGATGTTGGTACCTCTGACCTAGCTCTTGAGGTTGAGAAGGAAATCGCCAGCTTCGTCGGAAAGCCCGCTTCTATGGTCTTCTCCATGGGTTTCGTCACCAACGCCTCGTCCTTCCCTGCTCTTGTCTCCAAGGGCTGCCTGATTCTCTCTGATGAGCTCAACCACGCCTCCATCAGAGTTGGTGCTCGTCTGTCCGGTGCCGTCATCTCGTCCTTCAAGCACAACGACATGATCGATCTCGAGCGCAAGCTCCGCGAAGCCATCTCTCAAGGACAGCCCCGCACTCACCGCCCGTGGAAGAAGATTTTGGTTGCCGTCGAGGGCCTCTACTCCATGGAGGGAACCATGTGCGACTTGCCCGGAATCATGTCTCTGAAGGACAAGTACAAGTTCTATCTCTTCATCGACGAGGCTCACTCCATTGGTGCCATCGGTCCCCGCGGACGTGGTGTTTGCGACTACTTCGGCATTGATCCCAATCGCGTTGACATTCTCATGGGTACCCTCACCAAGTCCTTTGGTGCCAACGGTGGATACGTCGCTGCTGAGAAGTCCATCATTGACAAGCTGAGAAGCACCAACGCCGCAACCATCTACGGCGAGTCACCCGCTCCCTCGGTTCTCATGCAGATTCTGGCTTCCCTCCGTCTCATCACCGGCGAGCTTTGCCCTGGTCAAGGTGCCGAGCGTCTGGAGCGTATTGCTTTCAACTCTCGCTACCTCCGCCTGGGTCTCAAGCGTCTTGGCTTCATCGTCTACGGCCACGACGACTCCCCCATTATCCCCGTCATGCTTTACAACCCCGGAAAGATGCCCGCATTCAGCCACGCGATGCTTAAGCGCAAGATCTCCGTCGTTATTGTCGGCTACCCCGCTACGCCTCTCATCAGCTCCCGCGCTCGTTTCTGTGTCTCTTCCGCCCACAACAAGGAGGATCTTGACAGATTGCTCCAGGCTTGCGACGAGATTGCCGACCAGCTCCAGATCAGATTTTCCACTGGTGTTGCTGGTGGCGCCGAGCCTCTCCCCGAGGGTGTCACGCCTGAGACGGAGAAGGAGTGGCGCAAGGCGAACGGTCTCGAGGGCGTCTACAAGCCTCCCCGCTGGAAGCTTGAGGACGTCATTGCCCGCGGTGTCCAGGACTGCAAGACCATCCTGCGATAAAGCATCCGCCCTTTTCATGTTCAAAAATGTTTGGCGACGAGTACACATTTCACGACTGCTTTGACTATTTGGTCAGACGCTGACGAGGTGCGGACTGGACGGGGAAACGAAGCAACGTCCTTTGATGGCGGGGGAGAGGGAGTTCGGTGCACTGTATTCACTTCTGTTGGCATCGACTTGTTTGCATGATACCTATGATATCAAGTGTCGTGTGTCTCTTATTCCTTGACTGGGATGCCTGCATGGCAACGGCGTTACGGGAGTGATGGTTGGATTAGCGAATTCATGTGCTACGGCACCGAAACTATATAAATATTAGTATTAGGCTCCTCGGAGCTGAGAAATTTAGACAACTAAGGCACCTTAGAATAATGTACACACAATTCTCGAATTATTGGGAAATCTGCGACATCTTGGTTGTGAAATCAGTATCCCGGGGGGAGAGGAAAGCATATTATGGGGAGGGGACTGAAGTCTGATGCCCCGGTAGGAGTAACACCAAACTTGCCCTGGTCAGCACATGTTGGCTGAGGATATTTTACACTGCGCCTCGACGATGTTGGTAACGCCACGAGGCTTGATCTTTTTCGCGGTCGTGGGATAACTTGCAAGATCCATCTCGACAACGCTGTTTCTTAGGTCTTCACTCAACTTTACTATAATTAGACGAAGCCACTAGAGTTCTGCACATCCATAAGCTGAGAACATTGATGGGGTACAAGGTGGAAAGCTAGTCCATTCCGCCGTTGAAGAGATGCCAAGTACAACCAGCATGGCAACGACACCACATGAACAAGCCTCCTACACGGCAACAGCTCTCTGACGGGATCTTTCCTCTCGAAGAATCCTACTCATGCTTTCACACCAGCTGCTCTGGCTCGCAGCTCCCCGTTCCTTCTGTTTCTGGCCAAAAGGGATGCTACGACCAGGCCGTCCCACTCCGCTCTTGCCCCATTCCTCTTGCCCTCAAGGCAGGTTGCTCCTACCCAGGTGAACTTGGATAAAGTTGCTCCTTCCTTCTGTCCAGAACAAACCTGGAAGTACGTACTTCTAGTTGCGATGGCTTAAGCATATCGACCTGTCTCCACGTCAACCCGCGTCTCTGTTTTGATTCCTTCCACCTCACCACCTCATCGTCGATTGTTCACCACCCTTCATCCACCCCGAACATCACCAGCCCCGATCACACCCAGGAACAATTCTTTGCCCTCTTCATCTCTACGTTGAGCATCGGGTATTCTTGTTCTGTGCCGTGTGTGAAATTTTTGGTCTTGTTTTCTTCTCGTATCTTGGTCGACATCGGCACTTTTGGCCGCAGCTTTCGCGCCTTCCTCCAGCACGAAGCCGTCCCGAAATAACCGACAGCCGAACTACAGACATTCGAGCCGTACGGTTCTTTACCGGTCAGTCCCTATGGCGGACGACTACCTCCGGCACGGCCCTGAGCCGGCTCGACTTCTGCACCCTCGGCGGAGTGGCGGTGCTCGAGAGGCTTCGCAGCACCGGGACGGTTCCGGTGATCACATCCTCCCGGCCCTGCGGCCTTCCTTCTCTGGTGATAAACACACTTACACTTCTGCATACTTTAAGATCATGGGTCATCAGGGCGGCTCTTACACCCATGTCGCTGCTCAGCATTCTCGCTCCGCCAGCACAGGTGGTAGTCGCCGCCAGGTTGCCTCTGATGCAGGCCCCAAAACTCGAATTACCTCATCATCGGCTAACTTCCCGACTGTTGGCGCTCCTTCCCAGAGTTCTCAGCTGGAGCTTTCGTCAGAAGTTGATGGACTGTCTCTATCTAAGGTGCCGCGCAGCCAGATGATACGTGATACAGCTTCCAGCAGTGCCGTCGCGGGATCATCATCTTCTCAAGATGTTGACAGACCCTCTCGCCTTTCTAAGGGAAACAAGTCTAGAGTCGAATTTGGCGAGCAAGGCCTCTTTGTTGAACAACATGGCTCGCATCCTCTGGTTAACAACCCGCCCGTTCGTCATGGACGCTTCCCAGATTTGTCCCCTTTCAGAATCCCATCATCTCCCTACCGCGATTCTGACGACAACCATTCAATGCGGAGAGGACCCCGGGGCCACCTCGTTGAAGACAGCCTATTGCCTCAGAAAGATCTCCGCGATCTTCTGTTCTCCGACGATGAAGATAATTCCGTCAAGAGATGCTCGGCGCGAGGAGTATCGGGCTTTGCTGTTGAAGATGACGAGTCCGAAGATGAAGACGATCGCGTCAGACTCCAACTCGATGTCATATCGAAAGGGACGGCTTCGAAAGGAACGACGTCCAACAGCAAAGATCCAACAGCAGCTGGAACAGCGAGCCGCAGCAACCGTCGAACAAAGTCAGTTCCGAAGTCAACTGCCAAGAAGAACAATACGTTCAGTCTTCGACCTTCGGGAGATTCAAACGCATCTACTTCCCCTACCCACATTCGAACTGGCGGAAACGCGAGAGGCATCGACCAGGCGAGTCGACCGAGCACGCGTCCCGTTCCGTCCACACACGCTACCATTCAGACGAGTCAATCGCGTTCAGGAAACCCTGGAAGCTCAATGGGACTGAGCGTGACGACAAGAATGGCTATAAGAGCAACCAAGCCTCAAATCCGAGTCGTCACAGTGCAGAGGACCGCTTCGGAACAGAAGGCCCAGGATGCACGTCAAGACCAACCCACTTCAAACGCCTAGAATGCTTTGCCCAGGGAAATCTCATCGACGAGAGCACAGGCTTCAAAGCCACAGCAAGGGGGCACTTCTCGCAGAGTGGACCTGCGCAGTTCAACAACTTCAAATGCCGGTCCTGCTACGGAAGCCCCTTTGAGGCGCGAGGCGCATCGCGCAGCCAGAGAGCCCCCGAGCTCCTCGGCTCCCTCTAGGACCAGTGTACGTTTATCGCCTCGTACCAGATTTGTTCCATCTTTTCGAAGACGACGTGGCAACAAGCCTCAGGTGTTGAATCAGCGTAGTGTGGACCCCAACACTCTGGGCTTGATACCCATCAGCACCCTGCCAGGCCCTCTCTACGAGCCTGACTTTCCAGTGGCTAGGGTCCCGGATAGAGGAAGCCACGCAGGATTCCCGCATGATGATTCTCCGCTCACCAACAGTCAGTCGACTCCAACGAGGACGGCTGGTAGCAGACGTCGAAGCAACACGCTGCCCAACCCACCCACCATCAATGAGCTCGATCATGGCGGTTCGCGCTTCGATGGTAAGAGTGACCCAAGACTTCCGCTCATGCTTTGGCTAACGAGAGTATGTAGAATCTTGCGTTAACTATTGCCCGTCGACACCTGGTCTCTATCAGAGCACCGACGTTCAGAATCGAGCGTCGTCGGCGGCCGTGTCTCAAACATTGTCCGACGGGGAGGGATCAGCCCGCCGCCGATCTACCTTTCGGCAATCAGAAGATCCTCACACTCCCATGAGGAAGGGTAGAGCCCGCGTATTCACTGGAAACCTACAGCCAGTGTCTGAGACAAAGATTGTCGAGGGGTTTCGGTCACCTGATGGTTGGCGTCGCGCCCCCAAACGAACTGCCGAGAGGGTGTTGAGCCCCCTATCTTACAACAAAGGACCCGAAAGAAAGCACAAGTCCAGAAATGGAGGCAGGATTCAGCAGACCAAGGGCGGAGATACAGCGGCCGGTCAAAATGTACAGTCAACCATGGTTCGACATATCATCAATATTGCCGACAGATTGGACGGCACCGAGGTGGTTGCTGCAGGCGACCAGGACAATGACGAGAGCCCCAAAGGATACACGCAGAACACTTCCGACCATGTCAAGACACATCATCGACCTATGGGACCAATGGAGAAAAAAAGAAGGAGCGGCATCGCTCAGCTGCAGAATCAGCGTGAAGCTAAGAAAGAGAAGAAGCTCCCCATAGTGTCTTCTCCGGCCGAGAAGTGAGTTGATTCAAATGCTCCGATAGCAGTAGGTAAGTGTTAAAGCAGTCGCAACGAACCTCTCGCATACACCATGGCTGACATCTTACTTAGCCCCGACGATTTGCGACAAAGACATGTTGGAAACGAGAGGAACTGAAATTCTGAAGTGACTGGGGTCGAATGTGTTGGATCACAAACCCATTGCGTGGTCGTGTACGGATACGGATTGGAACGGTTGTTGGAAACGTTGAAGCATGGAAGAAGAAGAATACTTACCCATTGTCGGTATACTGGCGAAGACCAGGGTTGGTGAACATAGTTCTGAACAAGAGTCCCCATAGACATTCATGATAGCAATCACTCTCTACTCCACGAACATCGCAAGTCCTGAGCGTAGAGAGCACACAGTCTCACCTTAAAGCATCGCCTGTCTAGATTATGTGATTTGGCTCTTCAGCGCGCTGTGTGTGCATGCACGCCTATGAGGACGAAAACCCGACAAAAAGTGAATCCCGCATCATCGAATGCGTCAAAAAGATTACACAGTGCCCAAGGCCAGAATCGAACTGACGATCTTCTCATTTCGGACCGGAGAACCGGATACTAGTGAGACGCTTTACCACTGAGCCACTCGGGCTTTACCTGTGTGATTGATGGGGGAAGTGAAGTGGAATATGATTGCTGTGGGTGTGGGCCGGGGCAGGGAGACGGAGCCCTAAGTCGTGGAGGCATGTGGGTTCGTTGACTCGAGAACTCAAGCGGGGCACAAGATTGCAGATAGAAAGAGACGGGGCCCGGAAAGGCAAGTCGAATTCGAAAGACATTTGGAGCCCGCCCGAGCGTGGGTCTTCAATCGGATCCGAGCAGAGGTATGTGGGAGAGGACGGGAGGGGAGGATCCAACTGCGAGTCAAGTAACGGGCTGAAGTCCGATCAGCCCATATCAAACCTTAATACAGATAACAGCCGTGCTTATGTTAATTTGACCGGGTTGCCGTGTGCTGTTTTTGGGTTGTTGGGTGGTTTTATTCGGGGGGAGGGGGATGATTTGCATGGAACACTTCCAGAAACTGGCCCCCAAAAGAGAGGGACCCTTGATTCTGGTCCTCGTCTTGATGATTGAAGCTGAGAAGCTGAGGCTGGAGCTGAAGCTTCCACCAATGATAGATGGACCGAGCAATTTCGACTTTCAAGTATGGGATTGATGCTTCAATGCGGCCGTTCGTGATTCAACCATGGTAAAGCCGGTGTAGATCGAATCCACTCAACATCAGTCCGTCCCATCACTTAATGTGTAGATTGTGTGTGCACGACTTACACGATTCAGACGACGAGTTTCAAGACACGAGAAAGTAAATCACAGCCTTGACTCTTACGGTTGCAGTCCAGCTTCTTTTCATCCTTCTGTGATTCTGGAATAGGACAGATACAGCAGAGATCAACGCGATTAATTCTCCAACGAGCCAACGCCTTGTATATCACCCAATATACCTCTGACAGCAAAGGGTCAGACCCAGCTGAAAGCTTAATTCATGGCCTGGCATCACCACCGACAGAACTGACTTGCATGGCCCCACGGACGTGGAGAAGAGAGCACGCAAGAGCTCTGTGTTGCCCTTGCTGCCCACGGACTGCACTGCAAAACAAACTCTTGGTCGAGAGGTGGGAAAGAGGTGAATGAATCGAACATGTGGGGGTGATGGTTCTCACCTCGTCTATTGACTGAGTGTGTGTGTGTGTAACCTCCAGAATATCGAGTCTCACCATCACTGACAGCACCCAAAGACGGAGAGAGAAAAAAAAACCGGTTACCTTCCAGAGACCCGTCTCCCATCCCGCGCATCTGCGACGTCTTGGCCCTGCGCTGCGGGCGAACACCACACGGCACGCACGCGCGAATTCAACGCCGGGCCTGTAATTTGCCATCAACACCGCCCGCCATCTCCGGCGCGGCGCCGGTTTCTGGGCTGAAGCAGTCAGGGCAAGACAGACATTCAAGACATCCATCTGCATATGCCATCATTGCTGGGGACTAGATCCACAAACCTGCCTCTGTCTCTCTCTGTCTCTCTTCCCGCCCCGGTCCGAATCCAAGTCCAAAACCCAAATACACATCCAAAATGAGACATCCCAAACCCTTTTCCAGAATCTTTGAACCAGACTAAACCACATCCAGCCCGTCCCAAGAAACCTCGTATTGTGCGAAAGCCGCCGGGGAAGCTCTGTATCCCAAACCCAGATGCCCCACGCACCTGTGCCGTCCCGGAGGTAGGTGCCCCCTTACCACTCGGCCCTCCGCGCCGTCTCCGGCGCAAATCACCACTCCCCCCCTCCATGCCCCCCGGCCACGAACCAAACCTGCTCACTCACCACATCCAACATTCAACATGCCACACAGCCTTCCCGCGATATCCACACTGCAAAAATCCCACCTACCCTTCAGCCCCCAAATCACTCAACCCCGGGCTCTAAAACACCCCATCCTCCTCCAAAACAGGAAATTCAGCCATGGCTACTGCACAATGTAGGTTACAGAGACGAGAGGTTAGCGAGAGACGGGAGAGAGAGAGAGAGAGAGCCCACCAGACTGAGACAAGCCTAAACCCGCACCTCCCCGCCGCACCCGAATACCACCCTCCCGGTAGGCCGTCGTCGCCGCCGCCGCCGCCTCAACGACGACGAACGACGACGGCGATCTTCTCGTACAGTATGTGTGTGTGGCGCCCAGGACTGGACGTGACGGGCACGACGTCGCGGTCGTGCCAAAATCCCAACTTCAGAACAATCCGAACTTGACCACCCCAAACCCCCCTGCTTTGCGCATCTCACCCAGGAAGAAAAAAACGTGTCAAACGTACATACATCAAGAAAGGCACATGTCATTCGTATCAACCACCCCCCTAAACCCACTCACACACGACGTCCCGACTCCCCCAGCACAGCCTCCTCCTCAGCTACGCTACGCTACTCCCCCGAACCAGAGTTGCACAATCTCCGGCACCGATTGACACACACGCGCAAATCTCACCGTTCGTCATCCCATCCCCCCCTCCCCCAAACCTCGAACGGGGCGGATCCCCCGTGCTTCTAGAAGGAAGAAACCTTGACGCGATCGACCTCCTTGGCAGCATGTAAACGCGTAAGAACCGGCGCATCTCTTCTCGAGAGATCGTCCCTACTTCCTCCCGTGGGCACAGCAGCCGAACGGATCTGGCACGAGTATCGGATTAACATCCAAAGGGGGCTGGCTCATTCTGGCTTCCCCTCTCTACACTACAGTAAAATGCATCTGTCGTTCACACAAGGTCTGGATGGCGCGCATTTCCAATGAATGGTGAATAAAATAATGCCAAGAATCAGAAAAAAAGAGCTCCCTTTGATAGCTTTCGCGAGATGTCTCTTATCACACGTAGCAGCTGCCATCCTCCTCTTGTATCCAATCCCGTCAAGTAGTGCTGTTGGTTGCACGTTCGCTCTACAGCTCATCAGACCACCTCCGAAGCCAGTGTTGACACCGTACATCTATCCCCGCTTACACCCAGCGTAAGCCCCATCCATACCCTAGGTCCCCTTCCTCCTGCCCCTCCTCCCCTTCCTCCTACCAAATGGACAAAAATATTTCAACAGCTTCGAAAGAAGGATAGCTCCGTAAGACGGTTCCCGGTACAATGTCTCGTTCGTCCATGGCCTTGGGAGCTCCTACATAAAAAACAATTTTGCTCGGATCCACGTTTCGAGTTCGGACAGCCCAGGAACAGTTGCGAGACGAAACACCGTGGAGAGACCCCGCCCAGTCGAACCCACACAATGTTTCCGCAACAGGTATTCCAAAGCAGTCGTGTCTTCCCCTTGCGCAGCGCTATGCAGGTAAACTCCAACTCCGGTACGCTCTGGTCCATTTGAGCTTGCAGCCCCGCATCCCACATGCGGCTGCTTTTCCACTCAAGATAATTCGGATGTGAAATAAGTTAAATCATTGAAGGATAAGGGTACACATCGATGGTGATCAGCAGTGGTATCGCCCCCTAGATGATACCACCTGGCGGATCGTAGCCAGATGCCGCTCCCCTTGCCGAAAGCCCGGCGCTCCCTGGCTGTTCTGATGATACATCGACTTGAGCGTTGTTCGTCTTCCGTAACATAAACATGGGCTTCTTGCCCTCTTTATCCAGCTGCTTGAACAAGATGAGGGGCTTCTCTTCCAATCCTAGACAGCGCTCTTGATCTCCGTAAACAATGTAAAGGGCGTACTGATCCCAAGGCGCATTGATTTGGTATTTCTTGAGCGCGGCGGGCAGCACTTTGTAGCACGGGTCGTCCATGCTGACTCGGAAGGACTTGAAGATTTCGACGGATGCGTTGCTCGTGCTCGGGGTGTCGGGGGCGGGCGTCGGCCCACGTTTCGGAGCCACGGGCTGTTCGCGGCCTCTGTAGCCTTGATCGTTTTCGGCGAAAGTAGACCTTGTTGAGGGGGTCGGCACGTCGGAACGGTAGGACCGAGAACCGAGAGTCGCGCCGCCAAGGGTCGGAGGGGACGTTGGAGAGGGCATATTCGGAGACGGGTAACCGGGGGACGTAGCTGTGGCTGAGCCATTCATGGCGGCCAGGTGCGACGAGGACAACACGGCTCTTTCCGCTGCGTTTGAAGGGTCCAGAGACTGCTCCATCCTTTCGTGAGTTGTCTGCAGATGCGACGGCGATGTGTTCTTCGGCGTCGTTCCCAGCATGATTCTCTTGGTGGAATACTGTCTCTTGAGACTCATGGATTGGGTGGAGGAGGGTGTCGGGGCTGGCGGCGAAACGGTCTCGTATCCGTAACTCTGATTGTTGTTGGTTGACACATTTGGAAGTGGTTGTGACGAGTCCTTTGCCAGCCTCAGAGCCGGCAGCATGTCCTCCCGCAAGCGTCTGAAATCGTCCGTCAGTCGACGCAAATCCTGCTCGACCAAGCTCATCCGTTCGTCGCGCAGACGGAGCTGCTCAACCAAGTGCTTGATATCTTTGAGGGTCGCTGTCGCGTATTGCGCCTCGGCATCGGCGGCTGAAGAGATCCCAAGGTCAGCTAATCGGATTTAAGAACGGAGCACAGCACCACCTACACAACGGCACGTAGTGGTCGCTTTCTATGGGAATGTCCTGGGCCTTTTTTACGTCGTAG